TTCAAATTATTGAAAACATTCTATCTAGATGAAGAAATACGCTGGTGATACAGAAATCAAGAAATCTCGTATGTAGAGTAGTTTCGTCAATAATTTGTAGTTTTTCAACGCACCTAATGATCAGTGAAACTTCAGTACACTGAAGTGTGCGGAAAACAATGATTTCAGATGTCAGAAATTTCATTTGTATGTTGTAGAGTTAACTGTTGACGATCATTTTCTCCTTCGGATACATAGACAATCACTCTATGAATGCGATGCATTCTTACAAATTTCCAAACAAATTTTGTGCCTTCTGACCTCTCATCCTCATTAGCGTATGATCAATACAGAGGCATGTATTTCTAGCACTCCGGTTGCCTTTATTAGTCCCAATAATCTAGAATGTGCTAATATGGATGTCACCATATCGTACATCAAAATCATCCACATTGGTCCATTACTATGCCGAACCTCATGATCCCAACAATTTTTAAATTATTTCATTTTCGTGACTATTGTAAACCAGCTTTCTGAATTATTAGCAGCTGATGAATACCTAATGAAATGAACTGAACTCATACTATTATCATACTATTTGCATTTTGGTTATTTTCACCCTCGACATGACAAAAGGAACTTCGTGAATGAGATAACAATGTTTCCAGGTTCATCGGATGACCAATATTCGTGTGTTGACGACACCGATATGTGTGTGTCACACTTGTGTTCACACTCACTTCTCAACACTCTCCATAGTAATCCATACTTTTGACAAATATAGTGTGACGTTTCAAATGTAATGGTTAGTTATTCATGCTTTGAATGATGAAAGCGATTCAAAGACATAAAATATTCATAAGGAATATGAATCAAAAGTGTAATATTTGTTTTGTTACTGGACTCAGGAGATGAAAACGTCAATTGATCGTTCACACTTAGTTTCATTCACTTATCATACCATACTCCTTCTCTGAATTGCTTCATACTACTCATAAATACTCAGTAACTAGCTTTTTTCTGACAATCGGTATGAGATGATGAGTGTCAAACTTTAGTCAATAATAGTCATCATGTTTATTATTGTTGGGTACATTCTCTCAAAACTTGTAACATTTGTTTCCAGTCATTCTGAACTTACTGAATATTTGTACAACTGCAACAGTTACAACACACTTGGGTACTTACAGCCTCCATTTTGTTTACCGTTAGCAAGTATTAGATTCTAACTCATGTTAGGCAAGTCATATACTCTATTCGATCAATTTTTTATTCCTATTGTCATTATAACAGGATGCCTTACTGTCAGGGATGTTAGATCCCCAAAATTCGCTTGATAAATGCCTTATTTTGGTTTTCACGTTTGCCAGCATGGGCTGATCACCTGACCTTGAGATCTGATTTTCCACCAGGAAATTCCATGGCTGTGATTGGCTGCTGTGTATTTTAGTGTGCTATTTTCTTAACTGTCCTAAGCACGTTTCTATGATGCATAAATAAACGAGAGTTGTATGCTTGATTGTACTTTGATTGCTGGGTGTTTGTAGAATATACTTCTACGCTTACAAAGCCCTTTTACTTCCGCTGGGTTTCAAGGTAGCCTACCTGGACGCTGGTAATTGTCTCGTTCGCGTTTATCGACTAAGGTAAACTCATAATATCCTCAAGCATACTTAGTGACGAACATAATACTTAGGCGCTTCCATTACCAGAGATACCTTATGGGTTGAGGATAGTTACGCATACATTGAAAGGTCTATTAGGGTTATAGAAATTGAGTGTGTAAAATAAGAAATAGAGATGGCAAGAAAATTGTCGGATTGATAGAGTAAATTGATGGTAATATTGTAAAACATATTCACACACCTACATTCGCAGAAGGAAATTTTATGTGCATCGGACTACTGACCACTTGAACAGTAATATCATCAATCATACCGAATTTGTGGAATGTTGCATGCAGTGGAATCCAGAATCTGTGTTTCGCCACAATCGGAATATTATTATTGTTATTATCAATTCATTGTCATTTCATTGATTAGGTATTTCAAAGTGAAGATTCCCGCTTTGTTATCGTCAACAAAATAATTCACAAATATTTGCAATCACAACACTATCGATCACGAGCTGTTTAGATGATTAACTGAATGATGTCGACTTCCGAACTGACTAAACTCCCAATTAACAAACGAACCACTGTGTCGTCATGTCACTTTTCATGTCGATCTACGATTGCTAAACATGTAAGATCCATTTTTGAGAGCTTTGTTTGTCAAAATCCCTCCAACTATACATTTACAATTTGTCCTTATTGATTCTTTCAGTTATACATTTTGTTATTCTGTTCGATTCATTTGAGATGATGATATTTGTATTTTGTTATAGTTTCTATTTCTTCTGCTTTTACTGAGTTTCTATGTTTATTTCTGAACTGCATTATGTTGTTTAAGCTGATACTCAGTCATGGAGACAGCCATATTGATTCGTTCCTCTTTTGATTGTGTTGCTTGCGTGGACAGGAAGTGTGTATTTTGATTGTGAATTGAAGCACTCTTCTAAAATAAGAAGACTCTATGTTATAAACCGACCGAATATTATCTTTCGAACGAATCTGATCTATCCGGAAGGCATAGAATAACATTTATTTGTTGCTGTTGATTTGAATAATTGAACAGTTGTTGAAGGAATAACTGATTGAGAATATTTGTTTCGGTAATGATGTATATTGATACTTAAGATGAATATTAGAACCGTAATTTACCCAGTTAGTTGTTTTGATTTCGTCTGTGCAAGACAATTGTCTAACCAATCTAGACAATTATTCCTCAGACCAAACCCTCAGTTTGGATCCTAAAAAATATTCATTAAAACAAATCAAATCAAATCAATAAGTTCCGACAAGAGTATCACCAACTATTTCGCAACCACCATCAAAACGAAACAGAATGATGAAATTTGTTTACAAAACTAGTTGTCGGTAAAATGATGTAGTAAACGGGACTCAACTAAACTGTCTGCACATATTCCGTTCAATGGAAAAAAACTATTTCATTGGTTCTACATCATTTGTCTGTATGTGAAATCTGAGTAGATCAGCTCACAAAACCACATTCAATATCCTTATATGTTCAAACTTTGTGAAATTCATCTTTTTTAGTCGCTCGATAGAGAATTAGTCCACCTCGTATCAACAGGTTAGAGCGACACATTTGTTCATCTTACACTACCTACACTGAATATTCAATCATGCTGTCATCATTGTGTGTGATGTTTACAACATGTAACAACCAATCACTGAAATGTCATTCAATACATTTTAACAGAATAATCTCTTGCAAATTCATTGCTCTGATCACCTCGTTACAAACTGATCATCTAGTTTTTAATGCACCTATGCTGGTTCATTTGATGTACACTAAGGTAATTGCATATATTGGTGACATCCATATTAGCACATTCTAGATCTCTGGGACTAATAAAGGCGAACGGTGTGCTAGAAATACATGCCAATGTATTGATCATACGCTAATTAGAATGAGAGATCAGATAGCACAAAATATGTTTGGAAATTTGTAAAAATGCATCGTATTCGTAGATCGATTGTCTACATATCCAATAGAGAAGAAGATCGTCTGCGTATACGACAGAGAAAAATTTCGTCAACAGTTTCCTGACTGACTGACTGACTAACTGTCCATACATCACATCATCACTTTTGTAGAAGCGAACTCATCTGTACGTAATTCGATCCATCAAACGAAATAGAATACACAAGGACAGATCATTATGATTAATAATATATACACGTGATGTATGCACAGTTAGTCAGTCAGTCAGTCAGAAGTGTAACACTCCAATAGACAAAACCTACTCTCCACTCAAACAATCAATCCTGTGTGACACAACGATTTCAGCAACTCTATCAACATTTAACAAATATTCTATGTTATCGTCATATGTATTCTTAAATTCACATATATCTGGGAATGCAGTTGCAGTATTCGATGAAAATCGCCATCTTATCTCCGATATTTTGTTCAAATTATTGAAAACATTCTATCTAGATGAAGAAATACGCTGGTGATACAGAAATCAAGAAATCTCGTATGTAGAGTAGTTTCGTCAATAATTTGTAGTTTTTCAACGCACCTAATGATCAGTGAAACTTCAGTACACTGAAGTGTGCGGAAAACAATGATTTCAGATGTCAGAAATTTCATTTGTATGTTGTAGAGTTAACTGTTGACGATCATTTTCTCCTTCGGATACATAGACAATCACTCTATGAATGCGATGCATTCTTACAAATTTCCAAACAAATTTTGTGCTTTCTGATCTCTTATTCTCATTAGCGTATGATCAATACAGAGGCATATATTTTCAGCATTCCGGTCGCCTTTATTAGTCCCAGTAATCTAGAATGTGCTAATATGGATGTCACCATATTGTACACCAAACTCATCCACATTGTGTCGGTATTTCAGTTATTATACTTCTTGATGTTTTGCCACTGAACAACAGAAACAATAAGCCGAAATCGTGTGCATTACATTTACTAGACTCAACCTACTCATAAGTCGATTTTTATTGGCAACATCATTCTAGCGTCAAATCAGTTGGCATTTTTGTGAAACGTAATGTAAATCTAATTTCACGAATTATAGCGAAATCTATCACTAACACTTCCTCAATTCATCGATCATTTAACGTCATTAACAGTTGTGAGTAATCGCAATGATCATTTGTATTTTACAGAGGTCTAATAAAGTACAGTAAATACTAAAACAGTACTATAAATACTGATCACAAGCTTGTTTAGATTTGACAACGAATGATTTGTAAGCCGTTTCTCACTCGTATGTGCACTAAAGTAATCACATGGTTGTCAGCATCGCATTAGTTCATGGTCATTGAGTTGTAAGGAACAAATACATTCAGATATACATTTCCAGTGATTCTCAATACTTTCGGAAAAATTTCATTACATCCGGTCTTACAACTGAAGACAACAACAGATTTGGTGAAAAGAACACAAAAGAACAACTTGTATTTAAAGGATTATCAATGAAATCTAATACATAGCGCATTGATGCTATAAATTCATCAGTCAAACTACGAGACATTCCTCGTTACTCTTCGTCAACATTATCAGTGTTCATTTTATCAACAAGGCTCACTGGGTATACGTCTGTCCTCGCGTTCAAACATCTTCTCAAATTTCTGTCAGGGTCACCATAACTCCATGCTAATATGGAGCGAACTGGGTGATTTATGCGTCGAACACAATACCCATGTTTAATAACAGTACATCTTCCTGCAAAGTTTCTCCCACTGAACAGAAATACAAAGTGAAGAACAAATAAAAGTTAATGAATATCAAGCTCAACATTGTTATCATAAATAAACAACAAGTGACATAGTGAGGTATCTAAAAGATAATAACTTCATCAACGTCACTTAACCATTATTCAAAGTCTAAAAAATGGCATGCTAAAATTAAAGCATGTGGAAAATATCCATGGTTGAATGAACTTACAATGGAATAATGAGTAGTCCACTGAACAAACAGATTTCGTTTGGTTATTCATTTAGTCACATAGTTGCATTGATATCTAACCTTCTATGTTTTTGTAAGATGCACTATGCCGACCTTTGACATCCGTTACAGTTAAACTTTACATAATACTGTTTCATGTAAAACCTCTGTGTGTATCATTGTATACTCTGGTATTATGATCGGCACAAATGCGCACCCTCTATATTGACTGGCAAAACTTAGTATGGTGGAAGTTTGTTCCACAAATCATCCTTGTGTTGTCAGTTGATTTAGTATTACAGGTTTGTAGAGATTGAGTAGATTGATATCCACGAGTGGAGTTTAAACCTGTTCGGGTGTGAAGCAGTGCTCACAGAAGACAGTGTATGAGGTTGAGCAAGAACATGCATTAGTCGATGTTTGAAAATAATGCCGTCTCTTACCGGCTCAGTGGTCTAGTGGTTAGCCACCCGAGCGCTAGACCGGTTCCTGGGTTCGAATCCCGCGAGGTACATGTATCGTGGATGCTCATTGCTGATCCAGCCTATATCAGAACGGAACGGCCATTCAGTGTTTCCAGGTTCTAATGGTGTTATAGCATTGGTCGATTCGTGATATCAGTACGTTGATTTAGCATCAGTACACTGAAGTCACCTCATATCACTTATCACTCTCTCAAGTAACACTAGCAAACAATTCTCTAAATATGGTTAAATTCTAACATCACGAAGTTAATCAATGCAGTAACAAAGAAATCGTCTTCCAACGGAAAGAACAAAAATATCATTTACTAGAAAATGAGTTTTCTCATCATATTTACGTGATTGTTATTGTTTATATCATTTATGTTGGGTTTGGATTAAGAGCGAGAGAGCGAGCGATCGAGTAATTCATCTCATAATTGTGGTGTAAATAATTGGTTCAACCAATGCAACTTACGAAAATAATATCCATTGATCTGGATTCATATATTTGTTAATATTGGGTGCACACGCTGATTTCAGGTTCCTGGCTAGACAGGAAAACATATTTGGATTGCTTTCACAAATATCAACCCATTGTCCACGAAAAGTTCCACTAAATAATTTTAAACACTTTCGTATTATCAAACCATTTGTTTTATCTGCGGCGTTTGCCGATGAACACATGAGTGCAGCGATAATTAGAGTTGAATATAACAACATCGTTGTCTATCAGTTTGTGAAAATAAACTCAGTAGACCAATTTATACTATCTTTTTGAAGGACAATAAAGGTCATTTCAAGTAATTACAATCGTAGTGCTTACGAAAATAAAAAGAAATCACGACTCTCATCATGTGATAATAGTCAGAATGTCATAACAAGAATAAAACATTATACTTTGAAAACATATCGTATAAATTCGTCACAATGCAGCTGCATATATTTTAAAACATTTCTCACAAAATGAATAAATTAGCTGTGACATAATAGTAGTATGAAGTTCTGTTTTCATTCTGGTTGTTGACTATGTAAATTGTACGGAGGTTCACTAAAGGAATGCAAGTAGAATTTACTTGCAGAAACATAATGTTCGATTTTAGTGAATAAAATATATTGAGTTGAATTGTTTTAATGACCTTTAGCTTTTATGCTGCAATCTATTAACTTTTCTATTGTACAATAGATGGTTGATTAATGATCATAACTTATGATATTACATGTAGATGACTTGTTGTATTCGGTGATGAATAAAATTGTTGAAAAGAGTGAATATTGTATAAATGAATCCACTTATGATAGTATTAAATATCAAATTAATATCAGGAATAGCTAGAAGTACATGGTCATGTGTAACTCTATCAATACACTCATTTTTATTTACACAAACGAACCTCAGAGTAAAGCACTTAGTCCGAGTTATAGTGACTAAAGTTCACAGTCATTATTTATACATCATGAATCGAATGTGAGCAGTTTGTCCAATGTATGTCAAGTTCACTGACTCTCTTTTGTGCATAGGTGACAATAATGCAATCCAAGTGCACATATTAGGATAAAACAATTTATTGTCGTTTAATAATCCTAGTTTCATGTTGTCACTATTATTAATAATGAATCAAATGTATGATTGATTTAAACAACTTCTCAAATCGTATGATTGTCAAGACTTTGAACTTTGAACACTTTGCCATTCGGCCTCTTTCGTTGGTTATGTGCTTGTTTGATCAGTGAAAACTGTTCAACTCATGAACTTGCTCTAATTTTGATGAATGAAATTTGAAAAAGATTAACTAAGCTACAATGTGTAGTTGTATAACAATAATAAACGTAATTTCTTACCTCATAGTACATTTTGAACTTGTGACGTAACTTCATTTCTTTGAAATATGAAACGTAATGATGACGTTCTAAATGCTAACAGGTGATGCACTTAATGACACGTAATGCATTTTTGAAAAATATCAGTGACCGAATGAAAGAAGATAGGTAGTATTTCAAATAGAAAAAGTCAAAGAGAATGACCAATATGGTAAATTATCATGGGATCGATTGTATGATTGCGGTATAAATAAGTTACTGAAACACTCACTGAACTACAGTGAAATGATTTAGGTATGTCAAGTATAAATCCTACTTGAAAAGACAAATTAATCGTAGATATTTGAGAATTTATGGCCGTAACTAACTAGGTCGGTGACATTTTCCAAATGAATACTGTTGATAACAGTAACTATATGCTTTCATAATGAAGGAGGTCAAAATCGTTGGACTGTACTGAATGTATTCTGCACAGCTTCTAAATTAAATGTTCCTACATTCAAGATGAACAGTCGGACATGTGTTTGATGTTATGATTGTTCGAAAATCCAGTAGAACGTTTAATTGATAAATGATAGAATTATAATAATATATTTGTTCCCAAATTACAGCATGTTATAATAGACATGTCAATTTACAGTCTAGATCAAATTGTTACAAGTGCTACCGCATCTATTGTAAGAGTTAACAAAGTTAGATTAGAAACAAGATTCTGTTTGTGATAGCATATTGACATCATGTCACTGACAGGAACAGTTTGATTCAGCCTTATTTTTAAAAAGTGAGTTTTTGGATGATTGGTATAATTCAGGAGTGTATTATTTGGGAAATGTCAGGGAAATACCTTAACATGCGTGTACGGAAGGTATATTTGCGCGGACACACCATGAATGGACGAAACAGTTATTCAGTACTGCTTGTTTTTCAACGAAACTCCATACGGTGCAATTCAGTGATGGCTGTCATCTAAAAATGAATTATCAGGTTACTTAACTGTCACTTCTTGATACATATTATAATTTCCCCCTAAACTATAATCAGCTTTCATTGATGAGATGTTGTACGCTTAATGTTCAATACAACTTTAATTGAAATAATACTACATTGAGTTCGGTAATTAGACTCCCTATAAATCGATAGAAAAGATGAGCAATTACCACGTGTTACATAGGGACATATATTTCCTTGAATAACAATGTCTGTATTATACAATGTTCTGCTGTTGAATTTTCTATATTCTCTGCTTAAATTTGTATTCAAAAACTATTGAGAAATACAGTACAACGCTTCACTCAATCAAAACTGATGTGAGTCGCTTCGGTGATTTTGGGAAGAAATACAACAGTGTATGAACAGGCTGAAATTCTCAATTTGTAACTGCAACTCAGTGTTTGATGAAACAGATCATACTGACATATCACACTGTTTTCAGTGATGGTACTCGTAAAATTGTGCGTCGAAACTTCGAAATGAATATTCCTATTCATGTTAATTATACACTTTGACTGACTATTGGTTTAACATAATCCAGTTACTGAATGATGAATTTCTATTGATATGACTTATGAATAATTTATGGAACTTACTAATATACGAACCAAACTGTTGTCCAACTCGATCTCTGTCAACGACAACTTAGTTTCCTTAAATAATTGATTTTATAGCGATACGACAAAGTCATCAGCACGTAGTTAGTTTGTGAGAATTTTAAAATGTCACATTTTCTGTCAAATGATGATGACTAATACTAATACTACTACCATAATCTGATTGTTTTCTCAACAGAAACGTTTCTATAGATCAACACGTTCTCTACAAAAAATAAAGTTGATGATTCAGTTGAACTGATAGTCATGCATACAATGATTTCATGTAGGCAGAATTGGTTGTAAATGACCGAGACTCATCATGAATTTGATTTCATTCTGATCTGATGAAGCAGTTGATATTTCCCTTCATCAAACAAAATCCAATGATGAAATATGCTTACAACAGGGAATTCAATGCATGTGTATATCTGTAATTTTCCATTTTCTACTTATTATTTAGTGGTGCCATGGCACTATGAACGTGTAAAATAAAATCGGTTATTCACTGAATTCACTGAGTTTTTGTTTGTTCTCTATTCATTATGCTCTGTAGAATGCACTTTCATGGTACAAATCAGACAAATATATTTCACAGATTTCTAGGTGCACATAAATGACCTTGCATAAATCACAATGTAAATAGTCATCAGTTATGATAAACATGAATTTGATTTTGTTAAATGATGATCACTATTATTATTGTTGATATACGTTAATTTCTATCATTCCGTTGTATGATTTCAACGAAACAACTCTGACAAAGTTCATGGATATTTGATTTCTACTCTAAACATCTACAAATTCCACATTCACCACAATCGGAAGAAGTAATAGTGTAGTGGACGAGATCAGAGGTGGGGCAACCGAATTGTATCTAACAAAAATTACAGAGTTACTCAGTAAAATCGGAAAACCATATCGTAAATCGTTAATTTGCAAAATATCAGTTCCTGTTGCAAAACATCAATCCATTAACACTATTCATGCGTTTCATACAAATTCCATTGTTATTCCACTCTTCCTTTTCTTGATCTTCCCCCATCTTCTGCTGCCAGACATTACATGGCCACTCACGTCATATACTACTTATAAGTAGCTTACACCACACTCGTCACCCCTTTTATAAGCTGTCGTCTCTTTCAAAACAGGCACCCTGGTCAGTTAATATCACCTTCCGTATTCCGTGACGCGCTGAAATATGCCGGATTACCACTTCGGTCATTGTTCTTGCCCTCTGGTCTGGAATGGGTACGGCAGCTATCCAACGTGTAGTGTTTACTAGTTCCCGCTGCGGGGACACGGCGGCAGGCAAACTCTCGAAAAATTGCAACGCAAACAACTGTGCCTCGGACTCCCCAACCAAACCAGGCAGCGTACGGCGCAGCACCATTGTGAGCTCCACAGCCAGCACAAACGTGTCACCATCAGTCGACAGCCTCGCCAACCAGAACATCTGCGGCACCTCCTCCCTGTCCACCGGGCTGTCAAACTCTGTCATCAGCCGCCCGGTGACCGTCTCCCACGCCGCCTACCCGGCAAAAGCGTACAGGATGTCGTAAAACGCCTTCACCTCACCTCATCGCAGCATCCCCAGCACCGCCGACTCCACCTCGGGCTCCACTAGCTCCACCGCGGCCCGAAACTCCTCCAGGAGGCTCCGCAAATCTCCGTCCCCCAACTCCTTTGGCCACGGGAGCTCCTTCCTTGGATCCTGGCAGCGAGTCCAAATGTAGTGAAAGGGAACACAGGTATGGCAACCGCATTGTATTTAGCGAAATACCAGAGTTAATCAGTAAAATCAGAAAACCATATCATAAATCGTTCATTTGCAAATTATCAGTTCATCATATCGAACTGGACTGTTACTGATGCAAAACATCGGTCCATTGTCACTATTCATGCGTTTCATACAAATTCCATTGTTTTCTAACTCTTCCCTTCTTGATCTTCCCCCATCTTCTGCTGCCAGACATGACATCGACATTCACGTTATATACTATTTATAAGTAGCTTGCACCACAATAGTATCAGTATGATGCGATTGCATTAGTACTAGAAATAAAAATAATAATAATAATAATAATAATAATAATAGTAGTAGTAGTAGTAGTAGTAGTGGTAGTAGTAGTAGTAATAATAATAGTAGTAGTAGTAGTAGTAGTGGTAGTAGTAGTAGTAGTAATAATAGTAGTAGTAGTAGTAGTAGTAGTAGTAGTGGTAGTAGTAGTAGTAGTAATAATAGTAGTAGTAGTAGTAGTAGTAGTAGTAGTAGTAGTAGTAGTAGTAGTAGTAGTAGTGGTAGTAGTAGTAACAGTAAACATAGTGGACAAAATAGTACTAATGTAAATTATTTATTGATATCTTACCTTTTCACAAATAAACATATGACAAAATAATATCTATCATCCATAGACATCACCTCATTGTTCATTCTATATGTTTCAAGCTATTTTCGATTGAAAACAAAATATTATTTGACTACAAATTTCATGACTATTAAGAAAGTCACCATAAACTTTGAGAGTAGTTGAACAATCCACTTGTTTTGAACTCTGAGTGAATCGGTAGCAATCGCAATCAACTGTGTATGACATGTTTTGGAAATATTTAGTTATTGTGTGCTCTCTCATGAACTGTTGGAATAATTATAATCTTCCATTTATTACTCATGTGTTGATTGAAAAGAGATTTTTTATTCAATTATCATTGTCATTAAGTTTCTTTCATAACAATTTGTTCAGGTTTACAAATCTGGTGTTTCACTAACGGTTTATGTAATGTCGAAATTAAATTTAAATTTTTTGTATGATGTCTTCAGAAAATATTTGTGAACTTCATGCTGATATTCAGTAATGTTGTTTATTTGTCAAGATAATAACATCTAGTACAGACAGTTCAATTCAACAATTCAAACCGAAAATGCTCAAGTAAATAACTAATAGACTGTTCTAAAAGTTTAAACAGAATGATATCATTACATTCAAATTCTGACGACACATCAGAATATCAATAATGAAAAACTCATAGAACAATTCAACAATGTACAGCCGGCAATCGCTTTCACAGACAAGTGTGACAAAAACGCTGAATTTCTTTGACGTCACACTAAGTAGACGGATTGACGGCTCGCTAAGTAGGAGGGCGGATGGAAAACGTTCCTGTGCTTGCTAGTTTACTCACCTTCACAGTTTAAGACCTATCCACTACCGAAGAAATTAGGTTGGATGTCTCATAAGCAGGGCAAATATGATAACTCCATTAGATACTTTAAGTGAGGAGCTAGAATTCATCAACAACCTACTGAATGAGATCGGCTACCCCAACACGTTCTTACAGAATTAAATGTATACTGTCAAAAATAAGTCGGAGACATTGACTTTTCGGAAAATGTTTCATTAGAAGTCCTTCCTGATAGATTAGTGACAGTACTTATTAGGAAATTCTACGCAGCGAATCTTGTGTTGACTTTCTCGAGTCAACCAGTGATTTCTACTAATAAGTTGTCTGAAATGGCCTCATCAGTGAGCTTTTATAAATTCAGCTGCTTCTACAGAGATAGCATTATCGCAAGTACTACAAGGCAACTTAACCAACGAATGAGTGAACATCTCGCAGCATGGTTTAGAAAGGGGCAGATAAATACAATACACAACTTTATCTTACTTACTTACTTACTCACTTAGGCCTGTTACCCCTAATGGAGCATAGGCAGCCCACCAATTTCTTCCAGTCAAATCTGACCTGGATTTCGCTTTCCTCTTCTTTCCAATTTTTGTTCATTCTTCTTATATCTTTCTCCATTTCTCGGTGTAATGTGTTCATTGGCCTTCCTCTTTTCCGTTTGCTTTGAGGGTTCTATGTGAGGGCTCTTCTCGTGACGTAGTTACGTGCTTTACGTAGTGTGTGTCCTATACACTTCTACCGCTGCTTCCTGATTTCCTACTCTGCTGGAATCTCGTTTGTTCTCTCCCACTGTACGTTGTAGCTGAATGTGTCTGACCAATGAATCCGAAGTATTTTTTTTGTAAACAACTGTTAATAAACACTTGTATCTTCTGGATGATGACTTTCTTGGTTCTCCAAGTTTCCGCTCCATACCGTAGAACTATCTTGTCATTTTTCTTCAAAATCTTGATTTTGCTGTTGGTTGAAAGTTGTTTGGATATCTGTCAATACGCTGAGAGTAAGTTGATGTAGAGTGGTGAGTTGCGTTCAATTGATTGTTCCACAATGATCCGTAATGTAGCGAATCGGTCAGTACACGATCGATCCTTACGAAATCCAGCCTGTTAATCTCGAATTTTGGCGTCTACGAAGTCCTTCATTCTGTTTAACAATACCCTGTTGATGACATTGCCTGGTGTTGAGAGAAGAGTGATGATTCTGTAGTTCTCACACTTGCTCAGATCGCATTTCATTGGTATTTTGATCAGGCATCCCAAATCTTCTTGAAGAGGATGTGAAATATTTTCGCAGTTGCTTCCACATCTGCTTTCATTGCCTCTGCTGGAATGTTGTCTGGTCATTCTGATTTGCCATTCTTGATTTATCTGATGGCCATACTGATCTCCTCAATTTGAGTGCACCAACATCAATTGGGAGGTCCGTTGATGCTGTTTCGATGTTGGGTGTTTTCAGTGGAGCTTGTCGATTCAAGAGTTCCTTAAAGTGCTCTACCCATCTATTTCGCTGTTCTTCAGTGATGCTGAATTATTTGCCCTCCTGGCTTTTCACTGATCGTTCTGGTTTACGATAGTTTCCGGCGCGCTTCTTTGTTGTTTCGGACAATTGTCTCAAGATTCCGTCTCTCGCAGCCTTTTCCGCCGTCATTGCTAGATCTTCCACATATTTTCGTTTGTCAGCTCTGATGCTCTTCTTCACGTCCCTGTATTCTTCTGTGTATTCAGCTTGTGCCTTAACTTTCTCTGCTCTTGTTTGGCTGACATTGATTGCTGCCCTCTTGTTCCTCCTTTCTTCAATCCTTGCAAGAGTATCAACAGACATCCAATCCTTGTGATGATACTTCTTGTGACCCAGAACTTCGTGACATGTTGAAGTGATTGCCTCCTTGATCGCTTTACAATTGTTCTCCAATGTTGCTTCCTCTCCATCGAGTATATTGTGAAAGGACTGGAACCTATTGGTGAGGACTATCTTGAATTCGTTGAGTTTCACGGTATCCTGAAGAAAGGCCGTATTAAACTTGTGTGATGTTGTCTGCCCCGTAGTCCAGTGTTTCTTGAGTTTCAGTTTTATTTTAGCGACCAGCAAGTGGTGATCTGAGGCTATTTCAGCTCCTCTCTTGGTTCTCACATCCTCCATAGTCCTTCTGAACTTTTTGTTGATACAGATATGGTCGATATTGTTCGGAGTAGTGTGATCCAGTGAAATACATGTGGCTTTGTGCATGCGTTTGTGCGGGAATACTATGCTGCCGATGACCAGTTTGTTGAAGGCACATAGGTTTGTGAATCTCTCACCGTTTTCGCTCCTTTCTCTCAGTCCATATCGTCCCATGATTTCTTCATAATCAGTGTTGTCCATTCCAACCTTGACATTCAGGTCTCCCATCAGAATGGTCACATCCTTTCGTGAACATTTCTAGACGATTGACTACAGCCCTTCAAAGAATTGATCTTTAGCATCGTCATTGTAGTAATTGGTTAGTGCATAACACTGGATGACGTTCATTATAATGTCCTATGTGTCCTGTGTCTAATGCGTTTCACTGATACCGAGCAACCCGAGGTTTTATCTTTTCATTTCTGCCGCAACTTTAATCAGTCTTCCAGTCTCCCACAATGTACAAAAATTCCATGTACCTAAACGAATAGTTGCTCTGGTTGTCAAAGGAGGCATCGACCCCGTGAATTCAGGCGGAACTCGGCTTTCATCACACGACGTCATAATTCTCCTTCCAACTCCCACGGCAGAGTTAAAATGATTTGAACTATTTCTTTTGGTTAGCGTTTTTTGGCAAGTTATCTTTTTGGTGGGATGAGGTCGCCAATCCCATGCCCGACCCTCCTCCTTTATCCGCGCTTCGGACTGGCAGTAGCCCCGCAGGTCCTGCTGGCGGAGTTACTGCTTTATCTCGATGCAACTTATTAAATATGATCATAAAACAGATACAACTGGATCATTTCGAGCGAACAACCTGTATTCAAAAGATTACTAATGAAATCTAATTTCATAATGAATAAAATTGTTGAAAAGAGTGAATATTGTATAAATGAATCAACTTATGAGATGGTATTAAATATCAATTTAATTCCAGGAATACCTAGAAGTACAAGGTCATGTGTAACTCCATCAAGGCACTCATTTTTTTTTACATAAACGAACCTCAGAGTAAAGCACTTAGTCCGAATTAGTGTGACTAAAGTTCACAGTCATTATTTATACATCGTCAATCGAATGTTATCAGCTTGTCCAGTGTAAGTCAAGTTCACTGACTCTCTTCTGTGCACAGTTGACAACCAACCCATCAAAATGCACATCTATAGGATAAGACAATTTATTGTCGTTTAATAATCCTAGTTTCATGTTGTCACTATTATTATTAATAAATCAAATGTGACATTCATGTACCCAACATCTCACATAAGAACTATCCACTGAAATCGTATGATTGTCAAGACTTTGAACTTTGTACACCTTCCAGTTCGGCCTCTTTCGTTAATTATGTGCTTGTTTGATCA